CCGGGGCCGGGCGCCGCGGGCAGAGCCGCCGGGGCCGGCTTTGGCGAAGCCGCGGCCAGCCCCGACCGAGCCGCTGGCAGCCGCGCCAGGCTCCCGGCAGAACACAGCCCCCGGCGTTGTAGCCAACAGCCGGCAAAGCCCGACGGGGAGCTACACGGGATCGCTTCGACCCGGCAGGGGGGAAAAAACTCCAAGGGACACCAATGACAGGAAAATAATATTTTTAAAGAAATCAACCCACTGCTTGAAAACCGCGCGGTTCAATGTCCAGCAACAGGCGGCTGAAGTTGCAGGGAGTTTACGGACGGGGACTTCCCGGAGCAGGGCGGTGGGACGGCCCTGCCCGGCGGAGCGCTCGGCTCCCCGGCCCGGCGGAAGAGGACCGCGCTCCGGGATGATCGCCGCCACCTCTGCCTCCTCCCGCGCTGCCTGGGCCAGCGCCGCCGCCTACAAGTCCCGTCATGCCCCGCGCCGTCGCGGCCGCTGCCGTCGCGCCCCGTCCCCCTCCCGCGCCGCTCCCCGCCCACTGCCGGCAGCGCACGCGCAGCGGGGGCGGCGTCCGGGGCAAGTCTCCCCAATGTAAGATGGTGGCCGGGCTGGCAGCGGAGCGCCCCGAGCTCGGAGATCGCCCGTCCCTCGCGTAAAGGTCGTCGGAGCAGCCGTCCGAGCGCCCGACTGGCCGCCGCCGCACGTCCCGCCCCAGGAGCACCGCTGTGGGTTTCTCCCCTCCGCTTCTCTCCTTCCTCGCCGCCTCTCTCCTTCCCTCCCCACCCTTCTCCTCCTTTTCCCCTCGCCTCTTTTCCCGCACGCTCGCTCACCCACCCGCCCGGCCGCCTCCGCCGCGCTGGGCAGCCTGAGAGGGAGAGCCGCGCACAGGCACCGCGGGCCGGGCAGGCAGGAGGAAGGCGGGTGAGTGCGAGCTGAAGGCCGGGCCGGGGAGGGAAGGAGGAGGGAAGGAGAGACGAGGAGGAGGCGGGGGGGAGCCGGGCCGCTCTGACTACGAGAGCGCCGAGGCTTCGCTGGGACGGCGCAGGCCGCAGCCCACCCGCCGGTGCAGCCCCGGCGACGGGAGGACGCGCCGGGCCGCTGCCGGGCGCCGAGGGCACCGGGCCGTGAGGGGAGGGCGCGGGGGCGAGCGGGCGGCCCCTCCTCCCTGGGGGCACCGTGGAAGGGGCTCCGTCCGTGTCGCTGCCCAGAGGAGCTGTGTTTATTTCCTCCTCACCCCCATCTCCGGCGCCGGGAAGCCCTTGGGCCGGGCTGGGCCACCGGCCGGGGTGGCGGAGGGACGGTGGCCCCGGAACCGCTCGCATTTGCCGGGGCAGGCCGGTGCGGCCAGGCGCGGGCATCGCAGCGTGATTCACTTAGAATTTGCGTGGAAATTTCCTCTCTTCCCTTCTTCCTCCTCCCTGGAGCCAGGCTCCATTTCTTCTTGTGATATGCACTTTTTTTCCTGAGGGAGAGGCAAACAGATGGTGAATGGCAGCGTCTTAATTTTGGTGTTATTTTGGACAGTCCGTGCAACCTCCTGAGATTTGTCTGTCAGTAAAATAACTGGTATGTAACTTTCCGTCTCCTGCTTGCAAAAATTCTAGAAGCTCTTTCCATTTTGTGTATTAACAGAAGCAAATAACAAGACTATGTATGAGTGCTCATCCTGCTTCTAGCGAGGGTCCTACAGCTCTACCTGCCAGTTTAAAAGTGAGCAGCCAGTGCCTTTGTATGTATAGTAAAAGGGGAGGGAAAATACTAGATAATTATCTTAAAATGCTTCGTTATTATGCCAGAAAGGATTTAATTGTCCGTGGCTTGTATGCTTCTGTCAGTGTGGTAATACCAAGTATGCTGTTCATAGGAGAAGCAATTTTCTCCAGAGTGTATATTAATGTGAGAAAAATCTATCAGCTGCTTAAAACTGCGGAAATTCTAGACCTGCAGATATTGGCTTACTCCTGTCCAAAAGTTTTAGGAGTTAATGTTGACTAGTCACATGTTTACTGAGCCTGTACACATTTCTAACTTGCTGTGTTTTAACTGTGTTTTGGTTTAGTTTTGAAATGCCTTGACTTGAGCATCTCTGTACTTTGAGTTCATATTCATGTAAACATGGTGTCTGGCACTAACAGAAGAGCACACATACTGAAGGATGAATATGTGGAAGATTGAAACGTTTTCTAGCTCCTTTTACTGCTTAAAAAGGGAGAAAAATAAAATGCAGGCTTATGAAGAGCAGGGAATAAAACAGCTGTTTGACTCAAGAGGGTGAATTAGTTTCATATGGCTTACAAATAGTCAAATATACTGCTAGTTTTGTAGCACCTCTGTATTAATGTAGAGATCTAACTTGTGGTCTAGGATTCAGCTGTGCTGCACCTTAGGCTTTTGGAATTCTGTGATAGAGTTTCCATTTCCTAAACAAGATGAACACATGTTTAGAAATACTTGGCTGAAGTGCAAACTAAGTTCATTTTAGGGAAAAAGATTGTTTTGGAAAGGGGGAATACAGTGATAAAATTTTGTCTTCTTTTAGCTTGCATATTTCTTAGATGCCTTTTCATTTGTTTTTAAAATTAGGAGTACTGGAGGATCCTAACAATTTTTCTCTTTACAGAGAAAAGGTGATGAGTGTCTGTCAGGATTAGTGCTCTACTAGTTTCTTGGTACCTCAGAAAGTTTAAGAATATCTTTACAGTGCCCACTAAATAAAAAAACTTAAAAAGGCTGGTGAGAGAGCATATACAAGTACATGGCTTTTTTGTTTAATTCAAAATAATCTGTATGTAAAAATACCCGTTTTCCTTTGTGGCTATTGTTCATAGAAGTTAGGATATTCTTTGTGAGTTAAATGTTTTTGAAATAGCTCTGACCAAGATCCTAAATATGGGCCCTGAAGGCTTAACTCTGGCAACTACTGCTCAAAATCTCACCTGCCTCTTTGAAATAAATGAGATTATTTCAAATGGACCACTCTGTAAGCACAGGTAACTGTTAAGTGGCTGATTACAGATTGCATCTTGGGCCTTGGTTGCTCTGGTAAGATGAGGCTGATCTATAGGCTTTAACACATGGTGAAAGGAAGTTACTTGCTCAGCAAGACTGCTAGAGTCAAGGGTTCTTAAACTTTCACACGGTGAATAGTGCCTTAGGTTGTACAAACCACCTCTTGTCCTACTTGCAGTTATGCTGTATTGCTGAGATAACTTGAGTAAGTGCATATGTGAAAGACTCCATAACTTAACTTGCTTCAATGTCCTGAATGCTTTCTCTCTTTTAAGATGTACATGCTTTATTTCTTCTTTTTTTCTTTTTTTTTTTTTTTTTTTTTTTTTTTTTTTTTTTTTTTTTTTTTTTTTTTTTTTTTTTTTTTTTTTTACCTGCTTAGTCACATTTTTATTGGATGGTAGCAGTGTGAGGAGATAGAACTTTATGAGTAAATAGACTCCCCATCCCTCTGGGCCACCCTCTTCTCTTTCTTGGAGAATAGTCTATGAATTTATTCCTTTCATGAAGTTGGTTAACATTTTAACAACTGTAAATGCTTTCCAGACTTGGAAAATTAAGTATAGCAGAAAATGGTTTGGCATGGCTTGAGCTGTTGCTCCTACCTTCTGGTTCTTCCTGTAAGTAAATTGGGAGGGCAGTGCAAGTGTCTAGCAGGAAATATGAATATAACATATCTAAGTGAAAGCATGTATGAGTTTTGCATTAGACTGTTTGGTTCAGTTAGGTGCATGTTTTTACCAAACTGGGTTTTTTTCTGTCATACCAGAAACTTTGATGTGCTTGGTTTTGTGAGGTGGCATTTTTCTTGTATGAGTTTGAAAAAGGAATTTTCATAATCTCTTTATTTCAGAATTGTATCCAAGATTATACAAATTTAGTGAGTATTCAGGATATGTGGTTTTGGCTTCTGGTTAGGTGTTATTTGACTGGCTGTATCAGCTCAAAGGAAGAATTAGTGTTTAAACTAGTGATTTCCACAAAGTACTAAAATCAAGTAAGTTTTGTGGTGATATGTTTATTTTCTTTACTTCCACTTCAGTGTTCTGGGAACTTGACAACTCAAGGTATTTCTAGTAGGAGTCTATCATTTCAATGGAGCTTGCAAGTGTTTTCTAATCACAGATGTGCAAAGTAAGGTATTTATAAATCTCATGCATGTACTTTAACAACTTGAGGAAGCCTGCATCCAGGGCTATCGGGACAAATACAGGCCAAGGGAATGACACTTCTCATCCTTTTCTGTGTATCCTGAAAGCTATGTTTTTATTCTGGAGCAGAATATCTTAGTCTGGATTTCATAGTTGTTAGTATATTTTTATTAAGGTATTTCATCTGTTGCTGGTTTTCAAATTGGGGAAAAATAGGTTGGGGTCAGCATAAGGGAGATTTTTTAATCCTTTAGTTACTGAGTTAAAGGTAGATGTAGACATCAAGCAAACATGCTAGTTAACTTGGGGGAAAGGGAGCTTGAATCTTTGCTAAGGCTTCTTCTCTGATCAATCCTGTCTGATTTTGATCCAATTCTGTTCTCTTGCAATGGAAGAATGGAAAACCTCATCTGTCTATGAGTAGCTTTCTAACATACTGATCTTAGCTTCTGTTTCTTCTGTCTCACTGTTGTCTTGAGAGCAATAGATGCCTAATATAAACTGGGTTACAATTTATTGCAAAATCTGATGTGAAGTAATTGTACTTCTGCATATCTTGGTTGAGAGATGGAGGGTCCCTTGTTGTAGTGCAGGTTCTTGTAGTCTGGGCCCCTTCTGGGCTTTGAGTATTCTACTTTTCTCAGCTTAGCAGTCTGTTATTGCTGGAGGGTAATATTGCAGTCTTTTGTATTTGATTGCAAGTATCAATTATTAGCACTAGAAATTTGGCATGGTGCTTTTGTGTTGTTGGGGTTTGATTTTTGTTTTCTTTTTTCAAAACAAATTAAGTGAAAGAAACTGCAAAAATGGCAGCACACTTCTGTCTTCATTTCTAATAAGTTCTTCAAATTTGAAATAGAATCACATGAGATTTGTAGGGATGGCCAAAAAATGTGATAGGCATGTGTACTGTGATTTTCAAGTAGTGCTTCATCCCAGGTTTTACTTTGGGCCATTTTTAGGCCTTTTTTGTGGTTGAGTGCTTATGTTTCAGACTGCTGAGGCCTAATCTTTTCCTTGCTTTACAGAAGGGGCATTTACTTTTTTCCAGTGTGGATGTTCTTAAACATTTCTTCCAGATAAAATTTGATATGCAAAAGTAGTAACTGAAAGGGTAGTGAGCTTACTCTTTGTAGGATAAAATACACTGCATAGGTAGACTTGCTAACAACTTTTCAGGTTAATTTGTTTCAGGAACACTAAATTCAACAGATGAGATTTATTTGAAAATGGGCTTCATGTTATAGTTTAGTTTCAAGTCCCTCACCAGTATGGATTTAATGTGAATCCTGCTCGAATAGTGTATATTAATTTTAAATTGCAAGATACATGAGCTAAGACACCTTGAGTGTGAAATACTGTACTTGCAGGTGGACTAGGTTTGTTAATTCTAAACTTGTCTCTTATTGCATGTTACAATAAGTTGCCATTGTAAAAAAAGCCCAGAATTTGAGTGCAGGACTGGGATGAAGTAATTATATTTGTAGGTGCTTTGGAACTGCCTGACTGAGGAGTTTGTGAAAGAAGTTTTGATGAAGGTTATGTCCCAGACAGGTAAGCATGTGGTGGCTGTTCAGAGTTTTTCTACTACAATCTAGAATTATAGGAAAACAGGATAGGGAAGAAGTCTGTAGCAATAATCACTAGATGTGGGGAGAAAGTATTCAGCTACTTTTTTGTCTTTCTCTGTCTTCTCTCCAGATATAATGAATGAAGATAGGGATGTGTAGCTATAGCTGTGCCTGTCAGTTAAAGACCTAA